TCCTTGATGTCCCTTGCAAGGCTTAACTCCAGGGAAGTCTTAGCTTTCCCGGTTGTCTCCCTACGTACTCTGACAACAGTCTTACATTCCTTACATTCCTCCCAAGTGGCCATCCCCTCCTTCCAAGATCTGTAGACTCTTTTCTTCCACTTGAGTTTGCCCATCAGTTCCCTGTTTAACCACGAGGGTCTCCTGGCTCCCTTTCTTGATTTCCTGCCCACTGGGATGCTCCAATCTTGAGCTTGGAAAAAGTGGTCCTTGAATATAAACCAACTATCTTGTGTCCCTTTACCTTCTAGTACCCTGTCCCATGGGATTTCCTCTAGCAATTGCTTGAACAGGCCAAAGTTGGCCCTGCTGAAGTCCAGGGTTGTGATCCTGCTCGGTATTCTGTTCCTACCGCACAAGATCCTGAACTCCACCATCTCATGGTCGCTGCAGCCAAGGAAGGCTGCCCTCAACCTTCACCGCTTCAACCAGACCCTGCTTGTTAGTGAGTGTAAGGTCCAGCAGTGCTTCTCTCCTAGTTGGTTCATCCACCATTTCCATCAAGAAGTTACCATTGAAGCTACTTAAAAATGGAGACATGTAAATGGTGGCCAAAAGGATAAGAGTCTTACCTACAGTGATAATCAAAAAGACCTTAGTGAGACACTTTCTGCCCACGGTCCCCCACAAAGGAGACGTAGGTGGTTACAGGCCTAGGTGGTAGGAGAGGCAGCTATGAGAAGCCAAGTCTTCTGAAAGGGAAATGTAGTGCCTACATGAAAAAAATGAGGAAGAATCTACATTTATGGAATGTTAAATGTAAATACAAAAGAAAGCAGAGTTAAAAATCTTCTGAAGGCTAATCTGCAAAGTTATAATGAAATAAAAGCTAGTAGGTACTTTTTTAAGCCTGTCAGAACTAGGAGACTTGCGAGACATCTGTAGTTCTGATAGGTGATCCCAAATATTAAAACATATTCAAAGTCAGTAAGAAAAGGGTAGTGAATTCTTCGTCTTAACTGGGGAAGACGCTAAGGGGTAGTGCTTGTTTTCCCTGGGGAAGATTAGAGGGAGGTTTCTACACTTAAGCCTTTTTATGGGTGGTCAGAGTAACAGTTTGAAGTGTCAAGATAAGTAAAAACCCCAAAATTCTGAAGAAATATCAGGATGAAATTGGTGAACTGGGTTTGGGTTACATACCACTATAAACTGTCCTGATACCAGACAGTACCAGAATGAGAAGGTGACAAATGGACAACAGAACTTAGAAGAGGATTTGAAGGCCAATCTGGGGAAAATTCACATGTAAAAGTTTCATGTGTAAACACGGGATAAGAAGGAAGGTTTTCTTGTAGGTAAATAACTGATTAAAGCATAAAAATGTCCTTTTTTTCTTAATGGAGGAAGATCATTAGAGGAATTTTACAGGAATTTGTATTAGGTCTGTGAACTTTGTCATCACACTGGTGAGGATTTCAAGGTAGGGATTAAGATGATAGTTTGCTGCTATTGCAAAAGTATTTGAGATACTAAAAAATTGTGTGAAAGAGCAGCAGAAGTTACTGGAAGACAGGGTAATAGAGAAGTCTCAATACAGTAAATGTAGATTGATTGCAGGGGATAAAACAATCCTGGTTTTACATACACGTTGTTGGGCTGTGAGCTAGATGTTACCATTCAGGAAACAGATTGTAGATTTAAACTGATACTTGGTGACAGACAGAGATATGAAGTGCAATTTCTAGGAATTATGCCATTGTATAAATGCATGATGTTTCACTCCATCTTAAAAAGGAACATTGTAGAAAGGTATCAAGAAGGCAGCAAGGCTAATGGAAGGTACAGAATGGCATTAGTACAAGGAAGAACTAGGTCAGGACTGTTCAACTTGGAAAAGAGAGACAACCACTGGCATGGAAGAGAGGTTTCTAAAATCAGGAGTCTCATGATAAATAGGGCATGATTGGCAATTGCTTCTCACAACACAAAAATGAGGTGTCATCAGACTGAATTATCAGGTGAAAGGTTCGAAACAGGAGATACCTATTCCTAGAATCCATAGTTTAATTTTAATTTTGTGAGTGCAGTTTATTAAATGCCACAAATGTGTATGGATTCAAAGCCAATTAGGCACATGCATGGAAAGAAAAAATATATGTCTTTGTGTTTTAGATACTGCCTCTCACTGAAGGTGTCTCTGAGCAGCAGACTGCTGGAAATGGGGAGGGTAAACGAGGGATATCACTATGTGTTTGCCAGAAACAGGACACTGGGCAAGGCGCTCTGTTGGTTTGATCCAGCGAGGATGTTCTTGTGTATAGTACAGCTTGTAACTTAGGCAAGAGGATAGGTCGATGCAAATAAAGGTTTAAGCTATCTGATGCTTGTAGAAATATATTGCTTAAACAGTAATATAAAGTTATAATTGACATTTGTTTGTAGTGGCCTGAAATTCTACCATATTCATGCAGTAAGGCTTTCAGATTAGTATTGTTAATGTTTTCATTATTCGTTGTTTTTGGTTTCTTTGCTATCAAGGACGTGATGTAAATAAGAAATGTATCTGTTAAACTTAATTTCATTTCAGTGAACCTAGAAAATCTTGGAGGCTTTTCAAATCTCCATTTAAAAACAGGTTGTTTGGCAGTTTCAGAGCTGTATTTAAAAGATGATTGGTTTGTGTATCTAAGTTCAAGAACACTTACAAGACAGCAGAACGCCTTTTGGGCTGCAAACCTGGTTTTAGATGATACGGGTTTCAAATTATTTTACCAAATATGGTGGTCCTTCAGAATTATCACTTATTTGATTTAAAATAACAGATTACTTTTATTTAAAAATAACTGTGTTTTGGCAACTTGCATGCCATCCTGGTGCAGTTGTCAGTTACGATTAAAAATAGAAGAGCATTGCTATACTTGGCAGCCAGTACTGTGGTAGCAGAGCATAACTTAGCCACGCAAGAAGAAAAATGTCTTACTCATACTTTTCTGTTCAATGTTTTTATCATAGTGTAAACCTCATGAAGACCAAATTAGACCCAGAAGGACTGGGCATCATATTACTGGGTCCCTTTCTGCAAGAATTCTTCCCTGAGCAGGTAATCAATATGGCTTTATTGCTGCAGAGCATTGTCTATTCGGCGTATCTTTGAGATTCATGAATCACAATTAAAACACTATTCACAGAGCTATTTTTAATAATAAATATTGCATTCATTTGACACAGCTGACCAGCAAATAACTTCTTGTACCACACAAACAAACTGCCGACTTCTGTTTTGCATAAGGTGTCCATGATTTTGTCAGCTTTACACTGGAAGGAAACTCCATTGTAGTGACGAGTTCTAAAATTAACTTCAGGAAATAGATAATCATTTTTCATATGAAATAGAACTGGTTCCCTACTCAGAAAGTTTGAGTTTGGCTTTTCTGAGAATAAATAACTGTACCATTTTTATCAATATTACAAATGTCTGCTGTAATTGCTAGCAAACGGGAAAAGGTTGCAAACTTATGTAAGACTATTTTTATGTGTGTATCTAATAATGTAAAATTTTTGATGGTTTAACAAAAAGTCATGATAGAGTTGTGTTTACCATATGTGGAAGTCAGTATCTGCCAGGGTAATGGAAAATTATTTTCAAACTTTCAGTCTGTTCCATGTATCCGTAGCACCGCCACTGAGAAGCACATGTTAACCTAGCGCTGCTATCCTCTCCTCCCTTTGCCCTGGCTCACATTTTCCTGCCCTCATGGTGCCTCCCTCCTGCCACCAGGAACCTCTTTGTACAGATACATGGTAAACCAGAACAGGGAGCTGGTCTGGATGAGAGCTGTCTTTGCAGGTTTATGGAGGCTTGTTCCGTGGCCAGGCAAATGCTTGTATTGGCAGAGGAGAGAGGGTTTCCCCAGGGAGAGAAAGCTAGGCTGGTGGAGGCAAGAGGCGAGGCAAGAGGCGGGCCAAGAGGAGTGCTTGTGTGGAGGCTTTTGTAGCTTCACATGTCATTGAAAGTACATGGCTTCATTTTTACAACCAAGGAAATGTGAAACTACTATTTTTAAAATGCCTCCAGCGAGACTCTTGTTGTTAAGGGCTGTGCAGCACCATCTGGGTGTAGCGTTCTGTAGCATGAAACAATCTGGTCATTCAGAAGACACTAGAACTGCACTGCCAAAGATGGTAGGGACTGAATACATCATTAAGAGATGATTCATCATCTGGAGGAAAAAAAAAAAAGGAGTTGGAGTGTTCATTTTCTCCCGATTTACAGAATTACATCTGCATTGTGTATTTGCCAACTGTTTCTTCTTCCTTTCATTTGTATATCCAGAAGTGGAAATATCTGTACAATTGAATAGAATTTAATCATATTTCTTACAATTACATTACACTTGCAAATCTGGCAGACTCCACTACTTAATTTTGGGCCCCAGATGGTTGGAAGGAAGTTCAGAAAGCCTGAGTACATCCTCCATAATTGGCTGTGCCTAAACTGTCTGGTACTGTGGGCCATAAGTAGCTGAAGGAGAAACCAGCCATCGTGTGGGGCTGCTGCCTCTGCAGCCTGTTGCTGAAGGGCATCACTGCCTGAAGAAGGGCAGCAGGAGAAGGGAGCATAGTGAAACCATGGGCAGATCCCCACCACAGTCACCTAGAGAGCTGGTGGAGGAACTCTTTACCTCTTGGAAAGTTGGAGTCCCCAAGTCGATGCCTATCCATCAAGTACTAATTCCCTGCTGCACGTGACTCCCCACCATGCAGTTTTGCCTGTGCTGTTGAACCTCTGCTGGCTCCAGTACAAAACATGGGAATTGTAACTGCCTCAAGGGTACAGTCTGAACAACCGGCACGTTTTGGACTGGGACCTGCCAGTACCAGTTACCAAATGAGTGCTGAGGGCACGGGTATGTTGTCCAATCTATCTGTGCTCTGTGGATCAGATAGCAGGTGCCCTTACCCGTAGTGACACCTCATTCAAAATTCTTTCTGAAGGTTAAAGTCTGCAGAAATGAAGATGAATGTCTGTCTGTGAAATACTGTGAGGAAACAGCAGATGCCAGTGTTGGGTTGGAATTGTTGGATCTTCCCCTTTATACAATATTTGACTATGTAGCTACCACTCAGGAGATCCAGATTCAATTCCTTCTTTGCTGAGGATATTCAGAACCCCATTCTTACTCTCCTAGAAGGTACTAAACTCCATCTCAAAAGCAGAAAGGTATCTCAGCGTTCCTTTTCAAAGCGGTTGGCTTAGAAGAAAAGTATTCAAAGCTCATTTAGCCTGCGAGAGCAAGCCTGACTCTTCAGTGCTTAGGGCAGTCACCTGGAGAGGGGGATTCCTGAATTCCCCAGTAGCCCTTTCTTTGGGAAACAATTACTGCACAAAATTCTTAACATCCATGGGACAGGAACGGGAAGGCAGCACTTCTTTTCCTTTAGGGTGAGCATACCTTCCTCAGGGAAAAGAGTCCTCTTTCCTTCCCAGCAAAGCTTAATTTTGTTTATCTCTGCAAAGCAACTTCTGTAAGCGGAGTTCTCGCTCCCTTTTCACCACCCTTTCCACTGAATAGCCTGGGTTGCTGTGAGAGACTCATACAGAGACAGGGGGTTTGAATCATTTAAGAGAAGAAAAATGAACGAGGGCTTTTTGTAATCTGAAGGATGTACTGCAACCTGAGCAGATTTCTTCTAATTCCAGCCTTTACCCCCATGTACTTAAAAAAGAGATAAGCTTCTGTTTGGAGCCTGGTCCAGTAGGCATAAAGGAGATGATATTACACCTGATTTGTGTTTCCTGATTCAATGAATGCAGAAACGCAAAGCTTTTCAGTCCTTCTAGGACTAAAGCATTTAAACACCTGGAATGGTAAAGGTTGACAACTGCAGTGCCTCTGCTGAACAGGCGTCTTCACAAGTTCACAGTTAGCAGGCGTTGGGCCTCAACTACTTTTTAGCTCTCAAATGGGGAGTTGGAGGTTGGATCTGGTCCTTAGTAAATATTTAACTTCATAGCATCCAAACAGTCATAAATACGCACACATGTCGCTGCTACATAAAGTGTCTGACTAAAAATTAGGACAGTTTCTACATGGTCAGTGCTGAAGCTGTAGTTCAAAGTGTCGAGATGAGCACAGAAAATGATGACTAGCTCTTGGGGGCATTGCCCATTAATTTACTGACCTCCTTTTTTTATTTCTGATGAGAAAGGTTAAATGAACAAAATCTTCAAGGTGATGTCACCTGAAAGAAAGTGTACTTTTTTACAATTTCCTTGAGTCTTCCTGTTTAAATGCATCTGTCTAGTTGGAAAGAGAGGAGACTGTCAAGGCACAATGTGTGTGTCACATGAAATTAACTGTCTGATTTCTGCTAGGACTCTAGGGTTTCAGAGTCATTCGCTGTTTACCATTACAATGGACTGAAGCAATCTAACTATAACGAAAAGGTAAGATCTAAGAAACAGAAATCTAGCCCTAATAACAATCAGTGTGCAAAACTGACCATAATTACAGGCAAAATACTTTAACTTGAAACAGACTTGTTATGAAACTATTATTTTGATAATTTGCTTCCAAAAGGATATATTTTGAATTGGAAACTGCTTTGTGCTCCTGATCTGTTTTAGCTAGTATAGTGTACTGGTGGGCTAGACCGCATCTCTTAAGCAATGCATTTTGAATGGAGCACTTCCCGCTTCTCACGGATATGCACGAGATCTGAACTGTAAAGGCCAACAGAGATGTAACACAGACGAACTGCACCGTCTGTAAGTAGCTCTACAGCTGAACTGAGATGTTTGGAATTTTTTGTGGAATATTTTAGTAGTCCAGACTTGCATCAAAAATCGGTATTTTTTGGAACCGCTCAGTGGGGGACAAAAATGACCTGTGTCATCTCCAGCTTTCTTGGAAGGAGGGGTATGTGACACACCATGACTGCTGCTAAGTTAGTTCCTGAGTTATTGTTTAAGGCCGAAGAGTGTAAGGCATTAACAGGCACAGGGAACAAAAATTACTACAAGTAAAAAGACTCTTTGAGAAAATGTATATACTCAGTCTTCAGAGTAGATTGGAGTTAAGCCGTTAAAATTACTCCTGTGAAATCTCCAGTAGGTTCATACCCCAAAATACAGGCAAAAGCATTCAAAGATGCATTTATCTTTACTCGTGAACATATACATGATTGAGAAAATGTAAACAATTTTTTCTTTTCAGAGGACTCTGCCTGTAGCATTTTAAATGTTGTTTTATGAATAGAGCTGACTTGCAACAGAAACTCTGTTTTATGGAAAATTAATTCCATAAAGCTAAGTCCTGATAAAATAACATCAAACTTTGCAACTGCAACAGTAGTAGTAGGAGGAGATCCATTGTCACAAAATTTTTGCATTCCATTTCCTAGACCTTTTTTTTCCCTCAGTTTTGGCCTTTACTGTCTGTTGAAGTAAACAGTCAAATGACTATGGCCTGATCAGGATTTTCAGGCACTTGATTCTAAGAGATTAAGTTTTTTAGATTTCATACCTCATTTAATTTTTTTAAATAAAAAGTATACAAAACTTCATGGATTTGATTTTTGCAGGAAAAAAAAGCAACAGAAGAAGTCCTCTTATGTGGCAATAATCATCTCAGATGTTTTAAACGAACGTAGGCTGACTTAATTAGTTTTCTGCTGGCAGGTGATGTATGTGGAAGGCACAGCAGTCATTATGGGTTTTGAAGAACCAATGCTACAGACCGACGACACCCCTGTAAAACGCTGCTTGCAAACCAAATGGCCGTACATAGAACTGCTCTGGACCACAGATCGATCTCCTTCCTTAAACTGATCTGTTGGGCATGAACCACGTACAGCTGTCGAACGCCTGACTGGGGATACAAGAAGTGGTGTTGCTTGGCCAGCAGCAGACTTTGACTGTGTGGAGTTATACACTGGTATCATTGATGAATTGTAAATAATGATTACAAACACTTTTTCAGTGTTAATTGGAATATTTAATTTTTTAATCAGATTGATTTCTATTATAATAGTTTGTCTTTTTTGGCCACTGTAGTACTGTTAATGTGAGTTCTCTTAAAAAAAAAAAAATAAGCCTACCTATAAAGTTTTAACGTTATTTTGCCATTTCATGGAGATTTGAAAAATGTCTCATATTGCAGAATCTGCATATTAGAAGTCGGATCTTTAAAACATAAAACATATTCAGCTTCCTCTGAATCATATAGGCATGTTTTATTATTTAAATTATATTGGCTTACATTACAGTACCATAATGTGTGGACTAGACTGGCCTTTTTACTGGATATGTTTTGATGAGTTTAAATTTTCTGCAATTTTTTCCTAAAATCTAATTTTTTCCTAAAGAGCTTGCACAATGTGACATAAATATGATACATTTTTAGGAATACTAATAAGTATAATTCATAAATACTCTTTCTTGGCAGTTGTATATTACTGTGGCTTAGTTATCGGGCATGTTAAAAGTGACAGAAAATCTGAGGAAAAATAGATGTATTAATATTTATTTGAATTTGTATAAAAGAAATGTAAAAACAGTGGAAAGAATATCTTGTTCTATACTCTTTAAACTAGTCAAACTTATAATATTGCCAAATACCTCTTCTCAATTTGTCCAAACAACAGTGTAAGCCAGCGTTATTGTATGTGTTAAGTGCATGAGAACATCTGTTATTACATTATTATATTCCTTTATTTATTATCAACTTGTTAGCCCTAAAATAAAATCTTTTCCTCGAGTCATGATGTATTGTTTTAAGTTTAGTTTTCATCAGACTTGTTTACTGCCTCTTGAAGATGATGAAAAGGGACCATGGGTTTAGAAATGTCAGGTTTTGAGTTGCACACACCTCGGGGCGGGGGGGGGTGGGGACAGACGGACCAAATGAAAAGATAATTTATTGCATCTTACCTGTGATTGCAGAGCCTGTGCCACTGCCAGCAGGGCTTAATGTCGCATTCACAATTATTTTTAAAAAGTGATTTTCATGTGTAAGTAACAGTATGATTCTATAATGATCATCATGCAGGAAAACAAGCAGATTTGGTCGAAAATGAGGTATGTGGTGTGGGGGGGAAACCAATGTGGGCTTCCCACGGGGTCACAGCCTGCTTCTGTTATCCACCTGCTCCAGCGTGGGGTCCTCCATGGGATGCAGGTGGGTATCTGCTCCACCGTTAACCTCCATGGGCTGCAGGGGGACAGCCTGCCTCACCATGGTCTTCCTCATGGGCTGCAGGGGAATCTCTGCTCTGGAGCCTCGAGCACCTCCTCCCCCTCCTCCTTCACTGACCTGAGTGCCTGCAGGGTTGTCCCTCTCACATACTCTCACTCCTCTCTCGCAGCCACCATGCAGCATTTTTTACCCTTTCTTAAACATGCTATCACAGAGACACCACCAGCATTGCTGACAGGCTCAGCTTTGGCCAGTGGCAGGTCCATCCTGGAGCCAGCTGGAACTGGCTCTGTGCAACATGGGGACGCTCCTGGTGACAGCTTCTCACAGGGGCCACTGCTGTAGCCCCGTCCCACCCCCAGCTACCAAACGAGTTTCTTCAGGACTTGTTCAAAAACCTAACTTCTGAAATTCCCATGACCATTCCTTATTGCAGAACAGAGAGCAGGGTATCTTACCCTTTTACAAGATTTCTTTTTCAGAAAAAACAATTCCTTTGCCAAGGACAACAATTTGAAAAGATTCTTAATTCATCTTATCTGACTCACTTTACTTAGAACACGAGTATTCCATCCTGCTGTGTGAGCCTGATGCTAAAAGACTTGTTCAGCAGCAGTAGTGCTACTCAAAAGTATATAGATAATTGATTAAGAGAATCTGCTTTGTTCTGGACTGTCTGGCAAGTCTGAAACTTAGTTTTCCTAAGACACTCAGGCTTGATAGGTATTTGCTTTAGCTGGTTTTGCACGTTTAAGATAAATGTCTTTAGCCAGACATGCACTGATGTCTTGGAAGGTGAAAATTCACTTTTCTTGGTCTTTCTCCTGGATTCCGGTGTCTGTCTTGGCTTATACTAGAGTATCTCACACCAAAGCTTGCACTGCAACACAGCTTGAATCTGGTAGAATAAACAGCCTTTTTCTAGTCCACTGTGAGATACAATTTCTGTTCTATCTCATAGAAAAAAAAAAAAATTAGAAGCCCAGCTGATGTGAGATCTATATATAAGCGTTAGTCTGGATTAAAACATCTGTCCTCCAGAGAAATTTAGCTGAGGCTTAGTGTGGTAGAAGAACTCTTATTCCTGTTTCTTTTTCCTTCATCCTGCCTGGTTGTTTGAGGCCTGGCTTCTGGTTTACTTCCCATATTTTTAGACTACAGAGGGTAACTAACTGTCCTTAATGGGACTTGGCCAGCTCATCTGAGAGCCTCTGCCAAGTGAACCTTTCTGTCCTTTCCTCCCTGATGAACAAGATGGGAGAGATTCTGACTCTATGGAAATTCACCTTTTATTTCCTGTCAGACTTGTGATATGTGAGGCATTAATGTCTGGTCCTTTTGGTTTTCTTCCACAGAAAAAAAAGACTAGAAACCCATATAATTTTCACAGGTTGTTCTGCTCTAAGTGCCAAATATATAGGGGGGGTGGGT